TTTTTTGCGGTACGCGGGCCTCTCACTGTCGTGGCCTCTCCCGTTGCGGAGCACAGGCTCCGGACGCGCAGGCTCAGCGGCTATGGCTCACGGGCCCAGGCGCTCCGCGGCATGTGGGATCTTCCCGGACCGGGGCACGAACCCGTGTCCCCTGCATCGGAAGGGGAAGCCCCGTTTTATGTTTTTGATGTCACAATTTACATCTTTTTATCTTGTGTATCTCAGCAAAGTATTGTAGTTATAGCTGTTTTTACTACTCATGTCTTTTAATCTTCATACAAGCTTTGTAAGTAATTAACCTTACAACTTTAAATCATTCTGATTTTTACTGCATATTTACCTTTACCAGTGAGATTTATACTTTCATATGTTTTCCTGCAACTAATTAACACCCTCTTGTTTCAGCTTAAATAAGTCCTTTTCACATTTCTTGTAAGGCCAGTCTAGTGGTGATGAACTCCATTAGCTTTTGCTTGTCTGGAAAACTCTTTCTCTCTCCTTCAACTCTGAAGGACAGCTTTTCTGGTAGAAGGTGTATTTTTTTTTTTTTACATCTTTATTGGAGTATAATTGCTTTACAATGGTGTGTTAGTTTCTGCTTTATAACAAAGTGAATCAGTTATACATAGACATATGTTCCCACATCTCTTCCCTCTTGCGTCTCCCTCCCTCCCACCCTCCCTATCAAGAAACTTTACTTGGAGTGTTACCTGGAGGAGACCCCGGTAGAGTACAGGGAATGCTGACAAAGAAACACAGGGATTACTGTTCAAAAGCTAATTGTAGCCTATTAGCTACTTAATAATACCTTTAAAACTAAAAAGCCTGAGTCCTGCTCTACCTTTGTCACCTGATGACCCTTTCTCCTTTGGCTCAGGGTGGGACAATGTGTTCGTTATTGTCCAGAGAAAGAAAGCCTAGGGAAGCTTATCGTTGGGTCAGCCAGACCAGAGGAAACCACATCGCCTAAAAGAGTGCTAAATTGACATCCAAGGCAGATCACCTGAATGACAGAAGGAAACCTTTGTGGAAGATTTTCTAATTATTGAGATGTGGGCAAGCTGATTAAAAAAAAGGGGGGAAGGAGGGGAGTGGTTTGTGAGTGAATGCTCCCGAAGGAAACATGGAACCTTTTAACTGCAGGAGGTAAAGAGACTCCTCTGCAGGTGAAACTTTGAAAGCCTGTGACTAAGCTCGCCTCTGTCAAAGGGAGGCAGAATCAGGGTATTAACAGACATTGTCCAGGGACAGCATGAGACCCCAGCCCTGCCCTCCCAACCAATGTGTTGTTCCTGGCACCTTGACTACCCGATAAAAGCAACAAAATAGTGGAGCGAAGTGTGACAGGGCCCAGCGCGCACCCCACTTTTATTAAAATACTGACTTCCCTGATCAAGTCGATGGATTTGATTGATGGGGCTCACTGTTCCAAAACTAATTAGCAAAAGGTAAGTAATTTATTCAGCTAAAGTGCAGATTAAAGAAGATAAAGCAATGTAATAACTAGCACAGCTCCAGGAGGACACTTTCCAGCCTTTAATGGCATCACCTATGAAGATGCATCGAAGCTATTCTTTTTCCCCTTCCTTAAGCTGTCATTGTTCTTGCACCAAATGACAGCTACATGTCCTTCATGAGCAACATTTTGACATGCGTGGAACTGAACCACAGAGTGCACACAGGTTGTTTAGAAATGTTCCCGCAGTACCATCTGCCAACTAATTGTAGGAATTTACATGACTTCATCAGAGCCAATTTAGGCTAACATTTAAGTGTATCCATTCTTATGTGCCCATAATATTACAATTAGGACACTGGGGAAGATAGAGTCTGAATGGTGACTGTTTTAGCATTATGGGAACAGTTTCAGCTCCAAAGTGGAAAATCGTAACCTTGCAAAGAAGATAAAACTAACTTGCAAGGTCTCATCTTATAGCATGCGTTGGATTGCACATCAAATCACACATCACAAATGGTACATCATGAAGGAGACTCCTGAAGCCCTGGTTTGCTACAATTGTCAATGCTAACTTTTGATGTAGGTCAATGTTTTCAGTCCAGAAGACATTAAAATAATCTATCTAGGCCAGTACTGGAAGTCAGGAGAGATGGACTCGTGTCCTGATCAGGCGACTAACTAGCTGTGTGACCTTGGTGCAGCTAACTGTTTAACCTCCTCTCCAGGCCTCAAGTTCCTAATATACAAGATGCCAGTAGTTTCCTACCTTGAGCCGTATGTGTACCTCCTTCACAAATTTTGCCATAGCCATTTCATTTTTTTCTTAAAATCAATTAATTCACTTCTTTAATTCAGGTAAAAGGGGTACTTTATAACCCTAACATAAATGGAAACCTGGCAGCACCAGAGATCATCAGAAGGTCAGTAGAAACGCCACCTATGGCTGGTTATCAGGCAGTACTTGTCTCTGGTCACCAAACTGTCCTTTAGAAAAGAGGAACTCATCTTGCATTCTAGTTCTTTCTTAAAAGTGTTTCTCATACATACTGAACAATAAAATACTATTTGGGGAAGACACACTGGCCTAAAGCAACCTGAATTAATACTATTTAGGATGCTTGGAGGTAAACTGATAAAATCATTAATATAAAAGGGGGAGTTAGTTGTCAGAGGAATTTAACACAGCTGATCACTAAGTTCATTAGTCCTGAGGTTATGACCTCATCATTGCATTTTATGTCATTGTTAACAGTCAAAAATCACTTTTAAAAGCAATAAAGTGGTTACACCGTGGAGATCACAAATGTGTACCTACAGGAGTATAAGGAAATGGTGCCATGTTGCCAACAGAATGTGCATCTGCAGTTTAGGAAGACTTCTAGAGACAGCATTACATAAATACAAGAAATGCTGTACCTTAAACCACCCAGATGGCAGGTACAATTACATTCTCTGAAAAGCTGACAGAATCCTTAAATTATAACACATATGATAAGTGACACAGGAAGACACTGATCAACGATGCCTATAAAAAATGTAAGTGAATTTCCTCAACATAATGTGGATGGTAAAAACATACAATAAATCTAAGTCAATGTATTCTGTATATTATTTTAAATATATAAATAAAATTTATAAATTTAGGAATTTCATTCTTTCACTGAGATCCCCAAATGTTTACACTTCCAAGTTGGTCAAAAGAAAAAAGTGGATCTTCTCATTGGAAAAATTAACGATTACTCTGACTTGCCTAAAGCTCATACTTCTCCATATAAAGTAAATATAATAAAATAAACAATTGCTGTAAAAAAAAAAAAATCCAGCAAGATACTAGCTGTGAGCCTGAGGCCATTTCCTCTTTCTTAAATGACAAATTAGCAAACAGATTTTCCTTTGAAGTAATCGGAAGGACTGAAACTTTTCTCACTGTGTGGATCTCTGCCCATCTACCTCTTAAAACAATCTCCCATGTCATCAGCAGTGTGGCGAATCACCCTATAAGGGGTCCGTCCCTCGCATCCATTCTGCCATCAACTATCCATAGCTCTAAGAGGCAAGAAGCAGCCGCATCATTTTCCAGGCTAGGATGTTTCATCTGTTGCTTTTCCAGATGGCTGGCTGCAGGGTGGTGAGATGATTTTAGGGGTACCATTTACCGTCTTTCATTTGTACTCTCACTAAAAGCACGGACCAGACTTTTGTCCGCACTACCTGTCTCTTCTCTTCTCACCTGTTCTTGTCCCATTTAAACATCTGCAGTCCGTTATGACAGAGCACACAACCTGCTTGCGGAGGAAAATCAGCTGAGTGTGCATCGGCCGCTGCAAAGCCTGTCAGCTACCTGGCTCCAGGCAGCGTTTCCGTGACAGCTTTATGTCCGACACTAAAGAAGAATCAATAGGAGGCCAAGGGGCTGACATTTCATTTTCTAAGAAGTGATCCATTGAGGACCAATCACCAAGCAGTGTTTATCAGCCTTGGGAAGTAACATTTTTTTTTTTTTTAATGGGGGAGAAGGGACAACATCATGGCTGGGTAACTTGACAGGCGCAGTTCTCTAAGGTGGGGACTCATAATTGGAAATCCGATCAATCCTGCCTTATATAATAAAGTGATCAATAAAAGCAGAAAGGAAATTAAGTCATCAAGCTTGAGATGCTATTTTCTGTAGCTACAGCTTTTAATAAACTTGTCTTCCTGTATTACATTTTCATCTGCTTTTCTTTTTTTTTCTTTTGTCAAAGAAGAACATCTGAATAAAAACTTATAACGAGGTGACTTATTTCTAATTACTCCTGTCTGACTGCTGTATTTAGGATAACTTAAAATACAAAAAACAAACAAAAAAAGTAACTCTAAAGGAAAGCCAGACTACAACTAGAGAATTCTTCCAACCAATATCTTGGTTGAGATTCGAGACGAGACCCACTTTCTGTGAACAAGTGTTCTCTCAAATGGTTTGAACATTCTGGGGTGCTGGATTTCAGTCAAATATTTTTTGCAGTGGCAGTTATTAATAATTTTTTCCTTAGTTTTAGACTTTTAAACAACTTTATTTTCTGATGACACAAGTTGTTTATATACACTGTAAAAATTTCAAATGCAGAAATACGTAATAACGAAAGCAAAAGCCCATGTAATTTCTATACAATCCTCATCCCACTCCCTCCTCCTGGCTATCAGATGGATATAGATTAATGCCTATAGTTCCCATGTGTTTATGAGCCTGGCATGTGTACATGCACAAAGTCAAATGGCAGTGAATAAGAAAGAGGTCCATCCTGATTGACTTCCAAAATCAAAAGCCAGGAAAGGAAAGAACTCTGGGAATTCAGATCCTGTTCAGGCCAAGTTGAAGTTTCCAAAGCCTGAACTGTACTATTATATGGGTACAGTGGGCATGTCTAGATGTATGTTTGTGTGTGTGTGTTACAGCAACAGGGATGAGTGTTTGTGGTGGGTTTAACTCTTTCAAGACGAAATTCACTGCTCCAGTCAAACAGACTTTGCACCAAAAAGAACACACATGATGACAAATGGAGGTGCCCACACACAATAAGGAGTTGTGCTGTACTGTGCAAGAGGGATCATGATTGATCTCTATATACCAGGACATTCTGGAGAGTGAGAGTAGAGACATGATATTAATAAATACGGGTGACCACTGAAACCATCCAGGCAAACTAAGATATATGGTCATCATCTTAATTATAATGTACCACAAAGTGAGAGAAAATCATGGTGGCTTGCCCAGGTCAGTGGAAATAGCCAGAGGCTATGCTGTGACATCAATGAGCTCACCAGCTGATGAGCCAGGAAAAGACAGTGCAACAGACAGTGGCCTGAGATCCAAGCATGGCTATTGGGGGTCCAGTAACAGATCTACCACTAAAGCAATATAGTGACTCCAGACAAGGACTATACCTTTCTGAGTATCAGTTTCCTCTTCTATGACATGCAAAGATTTATATTTAAGAGGATCATTTTGACATCCCCGCGTTCTGCTTTTTTCTTAAAAGCCCCACCTTGTAAAACAGTTGATGGCACGGGGGGTGGGGGTGGGGGGGTAAAGGTCGGAGAAGGGGAAGATTCTCACACGTGAGACAAAGAGGACCTAGATGTGGACACACACTGAAGATGAGCAGCTGTGCCCTCAAACCCCCTCCCCCGCATTCTTCTGGAAGCTCCAGGCAGTGTTAATAATTGATGGAGGCAATGATAATAAGAAAAACTGGATAAAAGAATATGCTTTCAAGCTCAGGGGTTGGCAAAGTATGGCCCTCAGCCAAATCCAGCTCACCACCTGTTTTTATAAATAAAGTTTTATTGTAACACACACACACACACACACACACACACACAAAAGAATATGCTGTCAAGCTCTTTCTATGCCTCTCTAGTCTAGACTGTTTTTCAAGTATCAAGTTAGAGTGTAAACTCTCATAGAATAAGTAATTGCTGTTTTAGATCCATTTCCAAGAACAATGCCATGCCCACGAAGTGCTCAAAGGATACTCTCTGGAAATGTCGATGGCTTTTCCTAAGGGAAGATGGAATGCCCACTTCCTTGCTTTGGTTACTGTTATTATGAACCAATATCATGTTAAAGTACTCTCTGTGTGACAGATTATCTACTTTGCCTATCAAAACTCTCCTGTCAATAACTCTTAGAGGCAGGTATTTTATTATCCCTATTTTACAAAAAGGAAACAATGACTCAAAGAGTTGAAGTAACACAGTTGACAAATAGAGCTCAAATGTGAGGTCTGTTTTATATAGCTTTTTTTTTTGGCCTTTGGCAGTCAGTTCAGGCTTAAGAGAGGTATAAATGTAACACCTTACAGCCTAGAATATCTAGAAAGTTCCCAATGGCCTGCTTTTCAGCTTAGTTTCCTGCAATCAGTTAGGTCTTTCCAGGACCCTCAGTGGTGAGGGCTGCCACCAGGGTCCAGCCGGAAGCTCTAGCAGCGGGGGGTGGGGAGATCAAAGCAAAGAGGAGGGAGCTTGTGCTGCAAATGCCATGTTTATGATGCTAATCAAAAGCCTCAGCTTTGTGTGGAGGAGACAAAAAGCTCCCTCCTAAAAACTGGGAAGGGGGTCAGGGGCAGTGAGTGGCTTAAGTGCTTACCTCCTGCTGATGACAAAAGCGGCGATGAGAATAACCACGAGCACCGCGCTGCCAGAGACGGAGACCAGCAGGACGGTGGAGTTGGCCCCGTCTCCAATGATCCGGGAAGGCACTGGCAAAGATAGTTACACGAGGATCACCTTGGGCAAGGTCCTAAGAGCTAGAACCTCTGACTGTCACAAGTTTCAACTCTCTGAAGCCATTTGAAATGCTCACAGCCTATTTTGCTCTACGTTAAGTATTCACACAACAGCATCTTCTAAGACAGCCTTAATGAGACAAAGACATTCTTTTTTATAATTGTATGAAGAACTCCAACCAGAAGACTCTTATTAAATCCTATGGTAAACATTTCCACTCATTGCTTTTTCTTCTTTTCCTTTCTAGTCTCAGCCCAAACTCTTACTTAAGGATCTGATGAATTCCTTAGTGAGAAAGACACCTGGAAATTTCCAAAAGGAAAAGCAGTTTTGAATGACCCCTCCACTGCATCCTCACACCCCATCTATAGAAAACCTGTCTATTATTGCCCAGCTCAAAAGCCACTTCCTCCTTGAAGCCTTCCAGGATAATCGCAAAGGATGTCAAACCCCTTCAGATTTTATTCTAGAGTACTTTCTTTCTTTTTTCATTCATATTCTATTTAATAATTTGTGAATAAAATTACTTTCTAGAACTAATGTAGAAAATTCTGCCCCACCAGCTCCTTATCCAGTAGGCTCAATTTTGGTTTGTTAATTATGGAGGGGAGATGTCTTATGTAAATTGCTTATTCGTAGGTATGCCCTCTATTAACATTTTGATTCAATCATCCAGTTGGCCCAACTCACAATGTTGAAAGATTGATGTAGTTGTCTAGAGGGGCTTTTAAAAAAACTGATCTGACTTGATTTGAACAGATTCCTAGAAATAAATAGGAGAGAAAAAAAAAAAAAAAAAATTGGTACCTTCTCTAGTCTTCCCAGGGAGAAAACTCCTTAGCTTAATGTAAGATAGTTATGCAACTGTCCATTAGTCAGTTTGGCAGTCCCAGTTTTCATGGTTTATGGAAAGCTCAACACAGGAGAAAGATAGACATTTTTCAATCATATGAAAAGACAGATCAGATACCGTTGTGAAAAATGTTCTTCTCTAAATAGCAAGAGGTGTGCTACGTTACAGACACTGGCTATCTAGTTTCAAGCAACAGCCTTTGCAACAAAGTGTTTGCCTAACCAAAAATTTGTATAGCTTCTTAGTTCACCATAATGGGATTTGTCCTGGATTGTACAAAGAATCTCAAAACTCGTTACCTGTGTTGGTTGTGACCTCCAGGGGCTCGCTGAAATCTCCATAGCCAGCTGCTGTCCTGGCTCGGACATGGAAAACATAGGAAGTCAGAGGGTTCAGGCCTTTGATATCCGTGTTCCTGGCAGCCGTCCTAACAATCCGATAGCTTCGTTCATTCTGATCCTACATTATGAGAGGATAAAATTAAGGAAGGTGGCAAAATAAATCTCCCACTTACTCCGATACAGTATTAAAGCAGCCAAGCCAGTCCACTCAGAGGTTGAAAGTAAATGGAGATTGATAAACTCTAAACACTATATTCAGTTCAATGTTAGAAGTACTATTGTTACTTAGATGTTGAAAGAAATGTGGAGTTCAGGTATGATTGCTGTTGACACTGACCATATCCAGATCTTAACCCATAAACTTTTTTTTTGAAAAGAACATTAGATGATGGTTGATGGCTTTTCTCACTCCACACCCGGCAATTTCACAGAAATAACTACTGCAAGAAGGTCCCTTTCTTTTTCTATTTTCCATTCTAGAAAATGTCAAAAATGTTATAATCTGGTTTCAAAAAAAAAAAAAATCCTGTCCCCTTTCTGCTTTTAATAAGGAAGCCAATAAGTGATTACCTTTAAAAAGAAAGAGAAGACAATTGTTCATTTTCTAGACAACCTCGAATGCAAATAGCTCTCTTCAGAATGCTGTCCTTTAAGAGACAAGTTATTTGTAAAAAAATAAAGTCTTTCTATAACTTTAAGAGGCTGAAGAATGTAATTTTCTTTCCTTGATTTTCTATTAAAAGTCATCAAAATCCACACCTTGATTCTGAATAGCAGTGATCTACTTAAACAGATCATTATCTCAACTTTTATGAGTCACTCTTCCTGATAGAAGGTTTACAGATAAGACATTCTTAGCTTAGCTATCTTGATTTGCAGGACTAGAAAGAAAAAATACAGTTATATTAGAACATAATGTATTTTTTCTCTTTTTTAAGATTAGCAACTTAATACATAAAATTCATAATTGGATTTGATTGGGAAGCAAAATGCATTTGGTTTTGAGATTTACTAGTATGCCAGGACTTATAACTGACCAGAACTATAGAGAGAAAGAAAGGAAGGAAGGAAGGAGGGAAGGAAAGAGGGGTTGGGGGGAAGAACGGAGAAGAACCTTGCTTATTCAAGTAATACCTTCTCATAATACTTGACTTCATACTCCAAGATCACCCCATTGGGCCGGTCTGGTTCCAGCCAAGCCAGAGCAACACTGTATCTTGTAACTTCTTTAGCCTGGACCAAAGCAATGGATGAGGGTGCTAGTGGGGAGAAAAAAAAAAAAAAAAAAAAAAAAAGATATCTTACTTCAGGGGGAAAAATTGGTGGCATCAGTCAATAATACCATCTTATTTTAGAAAACTGTGAAGGATTGTCTTGTCTTCTGCCAGATCCCCGTTTTCCTCTTCCCTAGCACAAAAGCATACCATTTCATGGTTCTTTCCAATATTTTTTTGTATATGGTTTGTCTTCAAAAGACAATCTCTGAAGTAGCCTGGTAAGTCCATGGGTCTTACATTATCACCTCTACAGCACCTGCAGCCATTCCTCAGAAAGGCCGTAGGTATAGAGAATGCTATCTGCTTGTTTATTTTTTTGCAAGCCATGAAAACCTTTGGAAAATCTCCTCTTAAGCTCGGAGAAACTGCATCTCATCCTACCTCCAAAGAATTGAGTGTCGTGTTATTGGTCTTTAATTTTGGACAAGAGACTTTGCAACTCTTCCAAGGGTACTGTAGGGAATGCCAGAAGGCATTTTACAATTTACATACTTTCCAATATAAATAAAAGTATTGCTTAATTACAGTAAGAGTTTCCAGTTTGAACACAACCAGGCAAATAATGAAGAACACAAATAAAGCCACGATAGTCTCTCTGGACATATATGGCATTTTGCAACTCTTTTACAAGAGTTGAA